CTGGTGGCTGGTGTTGCCAGATTGGGTGTTTTTTTTGCTACATATTAAGGCCTGTTTACGTGTGTTTTAGCCGGGGTTTCGCCTGGAAGGCTCTATAGAAATCTGGCACCCTATTGAACACAGTTACACTGAGAGAGCGTGTGTTGTGTTCACAGACACCACCAAAATGAACGAGTTCACAGTAACGTTCATCAGGCAGCAATTCAGTACGTTCAGTTCACGTTCGCCCAAAATATGAACGAGTTCATGAACTATCGTTCATTGAACGCGTTCAGGCACAACACTGACTGTACTGACGAAAGGCTAGAATCGCCACTGGTTTAATGAAAGTGTTCATTTGAAAACCAAAAACTGAATATGATTTATTGCAGTCGAGCACATGGTGTTGTCAGGGTCTTTCACTTTTTTACTCACATAAATTTAGCCTTCAGATGTGTGTTTACACTGCCTTCTCACTCGCGTCAGAACATCTCCTTTCCATCTCTTCACAGCATAACCATTAAAAAACAATATTTCAATGCTATCAACCAGCTTTTATCCATTTAACAAATCACAGAGCATTGTGGCAAATGTGGAGGATTTTAGTGTTTTTTGTTTTGTGCAACAGAAAAGATGAAAAGGCAATAAAATGTCACGCAATCATTCAGGCAAGGAGATATGAACCCTATTGAATATGTTAAAAGCTCATCTATCGAGCTGATTGGACCATGTGGAGATTATAGGGGCGATATTTAGAAGAAGTACAATCCAATAACATTGTTAGGTCTTTGTGAGGGCTGCACCAGGCAGAGGCTGCAATCCCACTGTCCATCACAGCTGAAATCTTCCACACCAGCTCTTACTTCCAACCGCATTTTGCTGGCCATGTTTGATCTTCAAGGATGCCAAGGTTGGTATAAAAATGGAGAAAAATGGTAAAAGTGACCCAACCATTTTTTTTTTCAAACATTCTAAGAAATCCTATCCATCCACTGTCATAAAAAACAGCAACATTTAAAAATATTTGCTTTTCCCATTCAGTCATTAACAGGAATGTTCCGGGTTCGATTTAAGCTGTAGTGACAGCATCTGCAACATGATGTCGATTACCACATAATTTCAACCCATCCCTCAAAACATGCATTTGCACGTACAGTAATATACTTACAATGAACTTCTGGGGCAAAGCATTGCACCAGTATAAATACAAACTGTTGCAAAAATATCACCACAAGAAACTGTAAACATTAGATGTTAACATGAGACTAGTGTGATAATATTGCTAAAAAATGTGCATTTTTTAAAACCTTTTAGAATGTCTTGCCCCATAGACTTTTATTGTAAGTGAATGTCTTACTGTAAGGACATTGTTTTTGTTATATAGTCAAAAAAAAAAATTCTGTGGCAATCAACAGCATTTAAAAAATAATAAAATAAAATAATAATAAAAATAAAAAAATAGTTGTGAAATGCCTTTCATGCTACTTTGGCAACTGAACACTGGTTGTCCCTAATCTGACCTTTAGTTATGTGTCTTTCAAAGGACTAGTCCTGATTTAGTTGAGAAGGCAGTGCAAAAACACACATATCCATTGAAAGATGTATGCGTGTTGACATTATAATACCTGTGACAGGCATCCCTCCAGCTGCTCTTTTCCCCTGGATCTCCTTCCTGTGATGGCCAATGAGGGGCCATGCCACCCTCCCTCCCTTTCCACCATCACAGAACACCCAACTCAATATTTCCCATTGATTTTAGCCGCAACTAAATTTAGCTTCATCTACTTGGTGAATCTATGGGGTTTGCTTGATAACATTTCTCTGATAGGTCAGTGCTTTTGAAGTGCTTTTTCTATTAACTATAGAACCAGAGAGCATCAATACCAGAGCTTAAGCAATTATTTAAGCTTTTAAAAGTCTTTAAGGGAAGAAAACATCTAATTTAGCTTCTAACACATACACAAAGTATGGTTATTTTTGTAAAAACCAAAGTAGTACAGGACTGCTGGAACAAGAAGTCCTCCAGAGTGAAACAGACTGGATGAAATCCTTTTGAGAAAATGGTTTTGTCCTACAGCCGGTTGACGTGAGCTGACAGGGATTGCGTTCAGAGCCATATGTGGTGAAAGCACTTCAGCAGAGTGAGACGGTGGGATTGGAGAGCTCTCCTTTCTCCTTAGAGTCTTCAGTGTGTGGTCAGTATGAGTTTTTGACAGTGTGAAGGTCCAATTAAATCAAACTCCAGTTTGAATAAACACAAAGAACCCCACATTTAATGAAAAAACAACGTTTGACTGGAGTGACCAAACAAATCATACCAAACAATTTAGCATTTTGGTTTTTAAAAATGTAAAAAAAAAAAAAAAAAAAAAAAATTACCCAGGTATTTTATTGTCACAATATTTGACATCAGTTTGTGGTATTTCAATAGGGTTCATAGCTTTACTCCATGTGTACACCAAACACAGCAGGGGTGTTGGGGAGGGTGTAGAGACGGGCATTCTGCTTGCACAAAGACACTGTGACACATGCACACTTTCTGATAAGTATGTGTTGCACAAAACCTCCACACCTGCTCTGTCAGGACTCCTTAAATTCATTTAGGTTGGGGGAAATTACGCATTGGTAAGGATTAATGGTAAAACTGGAATAGGATAATGGGATTTGTTTTCAGCTCCAGTTTTTGAATTCATAGAGAGATTATCAAATCATAATACTCTAGCTAATTCAATTAGCACATTAACAAACCACTAAAAATTCACCTCTGCGACAAAATTTCTCACATGCAGTATTACAATGAAACTTTTAGTTTTTCGATGCAAAAATATTCGACTCAAATATTCATTCATTATTAAATCCAAGCATTTTAAATAATTAAAAAAATTTTTTTAAAGTAGTTTTGTTCTAAAATATTTTTTTTTACAATAAATCAATTTTCTATAAAATTAAGGATTTACTGCATGCTTGGTTTAGTATACAGAAATAAATATATCCAAATATAGCTGCAAGCAGCAATTAAAGGGCCAAGCACAAAGGAGGGACAATAAGTCATGCCATTATGACTGGAAGCATCAGACCAACTGCAACAATGAGCAATTAAAGACATATTAAGATGTTTTAAGGCAAATAAATATATAAAATAGAATATAATTTGATGGTTTATCACTTTTTACCAATAGGTGGCGCTTTGACCAAATTGATGTGGTGTGGTCAGAATAAGGTGACAATGACACATGCAAAGTTTGGTGTCAATATGCCAAATTTTTGCATCATGTCATAACATTTTTTGATGCGGTATACAAAAAGGGTTTTGTCTATCGACACAAAATCCATTACTTTTGTCGGCATGGTCTGCAGATGATACGATTCGATTTTGGTGAAAATCGGACCAAAGGTCTAGGAGTCGTTGAAAAAGTAGGTTTTTAAAGAAAATCAAAATGGCCTACTACAGCTAAATTTGTATCCATGTTCTTGGCATTAACAAAATAATCTATTAAGACAATTAAGTTTCATTATAATAGGCTAATTTCATCAAAAGTTACTAGCATTTTTGGAAATTTCATTATAACTTTTGATCACAAAGTGGCGCTGCCCTGAAACTTTTTGAGTACCGTCAGGGCATGTTCGCAGGCCAAAGACACATACCGAGTTTCGTAAGGATATGCTAAAGCATTCGTAAAATATAGAATTTTACAACAAAATCCAAATCGCAGATGTGGGAAAATTTGTGATCATTCGACTCTGCATGCTGAACCAATATTTGTGATTTTGGGCCAAACCGTTCAGAAGTTATAAGCAAAAAGAGACATTTTTCATATCTCCTGACCACTAGGTGGCACTGCTTCAAAACTGTGCAGGTACATGCAGGTTATGGTTTTTCATTACGCAAACAAGTAAGGGAGATAAAGTCTCAGTTGGTGGCTCCACAGCGATTGAGTTAGAGACTCTACAATTGCTGTGGTTAAAGTTCAGACTGTCCTCTATCTGTGTGCCAAATTTCATAACTTTCCCGTGATCGGTTCTATGGCTGCCATAGACTTCCAGAGCGGAACAATAATAATTCTTAAGTACCTTTGGTGCTTGGCCCCTAATAAACCCATTCAATTTATCTAAACATTATGTCTTGAACACTAATTAGCATTTAATTTATGTAAGAATGTGATATTTCTTTCTGGGAGAACTTAACACACAAGTGCATATTGCTCTATTTTTTATTTTTTATTGAAGGACATTTTTATTTTTTTAATTAGGCACTGGTTTTTAATGAAAATATTTTGATTTGAATTACTTCTATAGCACTTTTCTCTTTGACCCCTGCTTCTGAAGCATTGTGAATTTCTTTCCACTCACTAATGTAGATGTTTTATGCAACACATAATAACACATTAAATTGTTTTTTTGTAGTTCACAGTCATTGCTTTGTGCATTCAGGAATGAAACAGCCTTTAAAGTTAACTAACCTGACCCGAAACATTTATTTTATTTCAACTACTAATCCATTTGCAGAAAATACAACCATTTGTAAAATATAAAGAACATGTCTAAAACCTGTCCAACCTTAACCTTATGCTCTGTTCTGCGTGAAAACACTTCCCCGTGGTGAGTCGCATGCTCTGGACAGCTGTGCTAGTTAAAAGCATGCTGAGATGTGTCTTCAGGAGTGTGAAATGTTACATATTCAGCTGCCTAATTCCCTCTGACCCCCAGTCTAGCCTCTCAATACCACCAGACCCAACCAATCAGAAGCCCAGAAAAGGACGCATGACTCGTGCAAAAGGGAATTGCAGGCAATCGACTTTCAACACTAGGGGAGCACAGACGCAGAAAAGCAAACACACACACAACAGACATGAGCCGACAGAAACAACATTCAAGTCAGTCATCTCTCAAGCACAAGGGAATCCCACTGTACATATGTAGGTATGCCAGAGTATGTAGTTCAGCATGTGCTGAATGTATGGCGAGTATGTGCTCTAAGCCTTTTCTCTCTCTCTCAGGTGGGATTTGAGGCATACGGTTACCTGTTGTGGATCTGAGAGTTGAAGTGACAGTAGAAGATGTCATTGAAGGCAAGCAGTCGTCATCTTGGGAATACCCAGCCTGAATTGCACGCAGGTAACTGTGGCTTCGAGTGCGGAAAGAGCCGGGCAGGTCCAAGGCCTCCACGGCCTGGGATTCTACTTCGCTAAAAACGGACTCGCAAACTGACTCAAACTGGCCATTGACCTCAGTCTCACTCACCTGAGAGACAAAAACAGGAATAGCAGTCCTTAATTTTTCCTCTTCCTTTCTCTTTCTCACTTTGATTCTTCCCCTTTGCACAGTAAATATGAAGGAGTGTTAGCAGGAGGAATATACCACTGGCATTTTCCGACCTTGAACGTCTCAGTAGAATTATGTCAAAAAGCAACAAGATAAGAGAAAACATTTCAAGCTGGAATATCATCTCATAATAGGTAAATAAAGAAAAGCAGATTGTTTGATGAACTTTCGGAGGGAAAATGACAGTCAAACAGTCAACAGCAGCAGACAGCAAGAAAGCTTGATGTGCAAAGATTTTTATAAACCGAGCAAGAGGATAAGAGGGATAACTTTCCTATATCAAACCAAATCAACATTTAGCTAATTGATATAAAGATTCTAATCTTCTATGTAACTCTTAAATTACTGCTTGTAAGTCGTCCTTGCACTACAACATAAGTTTAAACAATTACTTTACCTTAATTAAAAACATTTTCTTAAATATTTGAGGGTTAGCATGTTTCATAAAGCCTCCATAAAAACATCTCAATGGTAACCTACTCCATCAATAAAAGCCTATAAATAGCTACCTACATACGCCACCACAGCTCAACAGACCTTGACTTCAGCTTTCTGGAATTCTGTTTTAACAATTGCATATATGAAAAGAATTTACCAAAGCTAACCTCACCATTTACATTTACCTTATTGCCTCTCTAACCAAACATGGAAAAAACTAAGTCCTAAAATAAATATCTCCAAAACCCTGTTGGGAAAATCAAGTCATACGAGGTCATACGACTTCGTCTAAGTCAAGCTGGGTATTGGAACATAGTTAATCAGCTCAACCTATTCCCTACTAGCTTAGTCAATATGGTCCAATAGCTATAACCAGGGTGACCAGATACTGGGTCTCAGTGGTCCTGTCAAATGGTAATTTGGGGGTTTCAACCACCTAAATCAAGTTAAATCATAGTTAATCAACTCAACACATTCCCCAAGGCAGCCTACCAATTCTAATCGGGTTGAACAAGATGACTTACCAAGGCGTTCTCTGCCCGGCCAGCTGGTAATTATAGTGGTTAACAACCTAAATCACCTACATAGTTTTGGAACATACTTAATCAGGACAATCTGTACCCCACTAGCTTGGCAAAGGTAGTCTACCAACCCAACCAGGTAGACCAAGATAACCTACCAGGTTGTACTTGACCCCAGCTGGTAGTTCAGCTGTTCAACCACCTAAATCACCTAGGAATAAATTTGGATCAGCTAATGACTAGTCAACCAGTCAACACCTTAAGCTGTTTTTTTTAAGTGGAAAGTCCTTAATCAATCACAGATAATATAAAGTCTACAGGAAGTCTACTCTTCAGCACATCAGCTCAAGACACAATCTGAGAAAGGGGCAGGACATCTTAGACAAGAAGTACAGCTAAAGCCCTCGGCTTGAAACCACTTACTGTAAGTAGATTGTCCTTGCTTGTACCTGTGTGTCAGTGCCGTGTGGTGTTTCGAGTGGTTAGACTCACCTGGCTGACACAGCTCGCCTGACTGAAGGTACTGACTGCACGCATGTAGCTCTGGTTTCTGGAGCGAAACTGTGGAGGGTTGAAGTTGGTTGCTGGGTCCAGAGACACGCTGGGGTGAGGGCGCATATCTCTCGCTGTTTGCAAGTGGTAGCCCGAGCTAAATGGAGGGAACAACCAAAAACTAATGTAGCCTACTCAAAATTAGATTGAAGGATCACTCTGGAATAACCACCAATAGTGAACTTTCGGAAAACTTTAAAGATATGATTTGAGATAAAGTGACTTAGTTAACAGGTTTACTGTCATGAACCCAAATGTGAGACATTTCAAGTGTGCAAACCTGTAGGCCACAAATGAAAGCAGATGAACACAAAATGTAAGATGTTGCAAGCATCCAGTAAACTATTTCCCCAAAAAGTGCTAAAGAAACATAACACAGTATGGTTTGGATTAGTCTTGATACATCAAAAGTAAACTCAGTAATGTTATCAACCATCTAATTTTTATTATTTTCATGAAACAATACAAATAGGCTATTGCTTGGATTTTAAATGGTATGATGGCCTAACCCAGAAAACCTGTCATGAGAAAGACTTGTAAGACACGTTACATTGAGGCCTCAGAAAACATATTTTTAGTGCTCCTAGTCTCAGTTCAGAACCATTGACAGCAACTATCTGTCAGCAGAAAATACCAGACAACCATATGGACAGGAGAGAAAGTGTGGAGAGAGCGAAAGAGAAATCGGATGACACTTTTGAAGCCTCTAACACTTCCTCACTGCCAAGCCATCTCAAACATCAATAGCGTTCCCTTCATCCTCAATTCTCTCATCAGCAGCTTATGTGTGAATTCTCAACTACTTTCATAAGAACATGAAAAGAAAAATAAGCTTGATCTTAAATCCTTTATCCTTAAAAGTGAAGTATGTAATTTCTGGGGCATTCGAATCACGAAACATAATTGTAAAAATTTCAAGCAATTTTTTTTTTTTACTTACTGCTATTGGTAGGACAAACAGATCCCACTCCCAAATAAACATAATTGACTGAACCAGTCTAGCTATGTTGACTGTTTGGGATGCTCAAACAAACCTTTCAGGGAAATCAGCTTTTAAATGGTTTACAAATGCAATTTAAAGGGTTAGTTCACCCAAAAATGTCGTTCCAAACCCATAAGGCTTTTGTTCATCTTCAGAACACAAATGAAGATTGTTTTAATAAAATCTGAGAGCATTCGGTCCCTCCATTGACAACCCTACCACTTTCAAGTCCCAGAAAGGTAGTAAATCATAAAAGTAATTCAAGTGACCCAAGTGGTTTAACCTCAATTTTATGAAGCCATGCGAGTGCTTTCTACAAAATCTTAATCTCCAACGCGCGTTCAGGCATTAACATCTACCCTCGCATCAACACATGTGCATGTGTCATGGTGCTCTCTTGAACGCGGGTTGGAGATTAATATTTTGTCAATAAAGTGGTAAATTATGTTTTTCTTTTTTTGCGGAAAACAAAACACTCGCATCGCTTCATAAAATTGAGGTTAAACCACTGGAGTCACATTTAATTATGTCTTTAATACCTTTCTGGGACTTAAAATTGGTAGTTGCGTAGGCTGTCAATGGAGGGACAAAAAGCTCTCAGATTTCATAAAAAATATCATAATTTGTGTTCCGAAGATGAACAAAAGTCTTGGTTAGGTTTGGAATGACATGAGGGTGAGCAATTAATTATAGAATTTTCTTTTTTGGGTGAAGTAACCCATTAAAGCATAGGAGAAAGTGTTTTGAAATTCAACATAAATCAAACATTATCCAAAAGACAGTCATATAATCTCCTCCTACCCTATATCGTATCACCACACACACCAGCCAATATTTGATACCAATATTTAAAAAAAAAAAAACATCCAAGCAGGTAACGTATGCCTCCTTGTGTCCTCCTACTCTTTAATGAATCAACTCCTCCCAGCCAACACAATGCAACCCACACACAAGTTTGGAGATATTAGAGAATTACTAAGAACTCATGAAAGAAATGGCCAGAGATTAAAAACTCTGCTGCACCTGTATGAAATGGACTACAATACATAATGAACAGTTTAGAAAATTACTTGTGCATTTAATGATCAAAATAAAAAGTTGAATGCAGGCAAAAGCATCAGGAATGCAGTCATTGAAATCCATGTGGGCGTATAGGCTATGTATTTTTATAACGTGTATGGAAAGGAATGGAGAACATGGTACAGTGCGAGAATGTAATAAAACAGAGGCTGGGATTTGATTCTGTAATTATCTGTAATAATAGACATTAATTCCCTAGTTGTTAGCTGATTAATTAGGCTGAATTTACTGAAATAGAGAACATAACATTATGTTGGTGCTTTACTTTCATGTACCTAAACCATAAAAGAAAGAGCTACGGCCTACAGACTTGAGTCTATTAAATGTCAATGGTTAATATAGGGTTAGTGCGGCCAGTGAACTGGAAAGCTGTTGAGGTTCCTTTAACTGTTGCCCTTCAGCAAGATACCAGGTTATTCCAGGACTGCCATTCCTCAACAGAAGTGGATGTAAAACATCTGCTAAATGACACATAACTAGACTAATATACCCCAGCGTGATCAGATAATGGTGATTTAAGAGGCCTCCCTTAATGAGCTTTCACATGAATATCAAGGTTAGAAGTAAACCAAGAGAAACCATTCCAATATATGTGGCTTTTTGTCATTTTTGAGCTTGACATCCTGACTCCCCTTACTTTTATAAAAGACACTAATAATTTCTTTAAAACTTCTGTTATACAGAATAAAGAACGTCATATATGTTTTTGAAAGACATGAGAGAGAATAAATGGGTCAAATATTCATTTTGGGTGAGATATTTGTTTAAAATAATCTAAAAACCAGCCAACATTACATATAAGTAATTATTATTATATTATTAGTAGCATATTAGTTTATTTGAAAATGATCAAATTAAATAATGATTTTTTTTTTTTTTTATTAATGATATGACATAAGTACAAATGTGGGTAATGGTACTGACATGGTTACTGATTCTTTTTCCTTTTTAAGAAAGTGTTCACACAGAACATAAATGTAAAAATGAATGTATTTTACTGTGTCATCATCAGCAGCTATTTGAACCCCAGCTTATGGGTTTCTGAGTGTGCAAGACAAGGTGAGACACAGAGCAACTATTTTGGGAAATACAAAGTTTGCTGGTGTCTCTGGACCTTGAGCCTCATGTTGTTTTCCATTTTCAGCGATGTCGCCTGGCACCTAAACAGATGCCCTTCTTATCACCAGTCTGACAGCAAATGAAAATGCCTGTCTGGACAATGTCCCGACACAATCCCTAATATCACACAGAGCTGTGGGCTAGCATTGGGGAAAGTTACTCAAAGAAGTACTCAGTTATCAATAACTTCAATATAGTTACTCTTTCTGAACAGTTTTACTATTTTATGTGCCCATGTTGCTCTATAAAGTGCTTTAAGAAATTGCCTGGGCTGTTTGTGATTGTGATTGATTCGCCTAAGCATAACTTACATTGCATAGTTCTTTATTTGTAAGTGTTAAATAAAGTACAAGTAAAAGTAAAGCTATTATTTTCGTAATCCCAAATACTGTCTGTCCATACAGCAAAGCAAACAAACCATAGTTAAGTAAATCAAGTAAATCAAAGAACAAATAAACAATTTTGATTCTGATTCACTAATAATTGCTTGGATTATTAGTATTATATTATATTCGTAATGAGAACTTCTCAGAAAAAAAAAATCACCTAATTCACAGGTGAGTATGGACATAATTATATAGATCAGCCAGGAAGCTATAGATGGCACAGACTGATTGGTTCTTATTGCAGTCTGCAAACAATGACATCATATAACATGGCTCCGGCTGATTGGACTGATTGTGCAGCAATCTTGCTGCTTAACTTTTAAATAGTTCAGTTCTGTGTTTGCTGTTAGAAATTTTGCAGCATGCTATCAGAAAGAGTTTGCAGCACACTTACATTATTCCTCTGAAATGCAAGGTCTAAGATAAGAGAATGTTCTTTTACACCTTATTGCTGTGCATTATTGCGTGGTCTGCCTAATTCATAATGAGCAACCACACACAAGTTTTAAAACAAGTGTCATGTTTTACAATTCTGCATTCGATGCAGGAGTTCATTACTAAGCATTTAAGCAGCTGCAATTTCATTATCGTGTTTATACAGCAGCAACAGCAAGTGGTTTTTGTAGTTTGCTGTGGGAACACAGTGACTAAGTATTGCGGATATGAGAACATATTAAAGTGAAATAGGCTTTGCACATCGCCTTCATTATTTTCCAAGGGCAATATTTTCATATTCTACGCTGAGTGCATGAGTGCTAAATTCAGCTGCATGCAGTGTCAGAATCAAGTCACACAAGTTTGAGCCATATTGGCCCAGGCACACATAGCATAGCCCAACAGCATTTAGACATTTGGCAAGGCAGGCCCAGGAACACATAGCATAGCCATAGCAGCAGCATGTTTTTCATGATCACAGCAGCATGTCTGTGGATGTATTGGCAGTAGCAAGTCTCATGTAGCAGATATATTCTGCCAAAACTAAAACATTACATTGTCATTTTCATTCCCATTGAATACGAGTTGTCATGACTGAAATATATTCTTTTAGTACAAGGGGTTACTGATGAATCATGATTTGTTTTTGGAAACGTTCATACAGAGATTAGCTGGACATTGAATGTAGGTTCTTTTTCAAAGTGGAACGAGACGATGCATCATGGAGTTGACGCTATGGGAAACGCCATCAGCGGGACCGGTGTCTGAAGCACGTGTAAATCCAATAATCATTGGGAGACAGCAGTCCAAGAAGTCACAAGCTGAGTACCCATGAGTACAAAAGGGCACCTGAAAAACATGTCATCAGCTTTTTTTGTCTTCAGGAGCCAATTGTTTGTATGCGCGTGCAAGATAAAAGCTCAGATCCCGTGGCCTACGAGGAGGCAGGGCAGAATCGATCGTAGGAATTGGAGGCGGGGCTTAGGGTGGAGTCTGTTTTCGGTAGATCTGCAAAGCAACTTTCATGTTGGTTCAGGAAATGTGTAATAGAATCAGAAACGGCTCTTTCTGTCGCTTCATTCATATTGCACACTG